GGTGAGAAAGAAAATATCTGGCTGGAAATCTTTACTCTTATCAGTTGGAGGAAGATTAACTCTTGTAAAGCATGTTCTTTTTAAGTATGCCTATACATATCTTATCGGTTATTTACGTACCTCAAGGGGTTATTCATCAAATTCATTCTTTGATCTGAAATTTTATTTGGGAAGAGGCAAATGGTAAAGCTAAGCGACACTAGGTGAGCTTTGGAAAAATTACCAAACCGTTATCAGAAGGAGGATTAGGCATTCGAGACTTAGAAGAAGTACAAGTGGCTCTAAAAACAAGATTTGCTTGGAAAATTTGTTTATCTGTTTCTCTACTACAAAAGTTCATAAAAGCAAAATATTTTCCACACAATTTATACAACCAGATCTAAATATCAGCCTTAAACTCACCTTTTTGGAAGAGCATAGCAAGTTTGATACCTACGATAATTGAAAATTCGGTGTGGCACATAAAAAGCGGAGATGTTAATTTCTGGCAAGAAAATCGGTCTGGTCTAGGACCATTAGCAAACCTGGTGGAGGTAGTGGAGCCTGATTTGAGGCTAAATGCGGTGGTGACCTCAAGGGGATGGAATGAAGATGTCTTATCAGATTTAATCAGGAGTGACTTAGCTAAAGCTGCTATAGACTTTGTTCCAAAGTTATGTGACGGAGTGGATACAGTTGTTTGGAAACCCTCTCCAGATGGCTTGTTCGGCACTGGGAGTACTTGGAAGCTCATTCGAGACAAACATGAGTGTGTAGATTGGGATAAATGGGTATGGCATCCACTAATTCCAAAAAGAATCTCTTTTATTACTTGGAAAGCTATGCAAAATGCACTCGTTGTGGATGAAAAATTACAAATGGAGGGGATCCCCTTAGCATCAAAATGTGTATGTTGTGTTATACCTCACTGTAAGTCTCTCAACCATTTGTTGGATGGCAGCGACCTAGCAGAATTTCTTTGGAATCAGATATTGATGACGACAGGCATCACTAACATTCTATCTTTGGGTTGGAGACAACGAATGAATTTCTGGTTCTCCAAGGCATCAAAACCGTCCCAAGTAGGCATGATTATTGGCTTTTCCCCTGTTTTGATTTTCTGGGTGATTTGGACAGCAAGGTGCAGAAAAAAGATGGAAGGTGTGGACATTAATTATGATCAGATTTGGGCTCCAGTGAAGTGGTGGATGGGTGAACTATGTGCCAATGCGGCTAAGGTATCGAGACTATCTTTGTCTGATTGTATTGTACTACGAACTTTGGGAATTCAAATCAGAAAACCACATAATAAAGTCACTAAATTTGTCCGTTGGATACCTCTTGTAATGACCCAAAATTTAAAGATTTGGAATCGTTACCAAAAACATTTATTCATAATTAAATAAATTATGTCAAACATTCTACATGAAAATTTTTCTAGTTCCATCTATAAAATAAATAAAGTCTATGGAAAACATAATTAATTGAACCATGTTCCAAATATTAAACTTCAAATTTAACATGAAGATAA